TAGCAGGGTTTGGCACCACACTTGCCATGACAAAAAAGAAGAACCCAGACTGGTTCAGTAAGGTTCGTTCCTTTTAAACTATTTTCCAACTGTGATATGTAGGAAATAAGAATGCATCAAATGTTTTATAGAAATGGTGACATATGGGGAGTTTGGCTGTACAAAGTTGGTGGTAAGAGCATGAGGCTTAATTGAAGTCATTAGGTGTAGGATTAAGTTAAAAATCCAGCCAGAGTTGGCACTGCTAAGTAGTACTGGAGTTGAAATACATAAAGCTTACACTGTTGGCTGGAATCATACTGCTGCTCCATAATGGGATATAATTGATGATCTGGTTTGATTCTGTGATGTAAACACACTTCAGTCAGGAGCCTGTATCGTGTCAGTGATCCAGTTCACCACGCTGTCCCACAGTGCTGCAGTGCATTGGGAAGCGAGGAAACTGCAGTAAGGATGACAATGAGGAGGTCGAAAGCCTGTAAGCTGTGGAATCATAGACTGGTTTGGGTTGGAAGGGACCTCGAAGATCATCCAGTTCCAACCCCCCTGCCATGGGCAGGGACACCCTCCACTACACCAGGTTGCCCAAAGCCTCATCCAGCCTGGCCTTGAACACTTCCAGGGATGGGGCAGCCACAGCTTCTCTGGGCAACCTGTTCCAGTGCCTCACCAGTATACCATGTCAGCATATTAATCTGAAATACAGCATATTTACTTGAAGAACACATTTTTCCTAACCAAGGCTCTGTTACTGCCGAAAATAGCAAAAATAGTCCCTTAAAATTGATCATTCTCATCTCCACTGAGCCCTTAAAACACAACATATATTACAGATGTTTTTAGGAAGCTGAGATATGATCAGTTGTGTTTATTTTTAAAAGTTAGTTCATTAACAATGGATATCAAGAGAAAAATAATTCTTCCGTTGCACTTTCTGCCAGAGCCTTTGTATCTGATCACTCATAATCTCCTTTTGTGGCCAAAGAGCAAGAGATCTTCCTTTGCCATCCTATTTTCCTCTGAGGGCTGCTGTGGTGTAACTCATGTATTTCCTTTTCAGCAACAATAAACACAGGCCCCTTTTTTGAAAGAGACAAGATAGAAAAGCTTCCATGAGAAGCTATTTCACAAGCTATAGAAAGGTATTACAATAAGTAAATTTTCTCTTTTTTAACATTTTTTTTAAACTCCCTTTTTCCTGAGCATTGCATTTTTTCCAGCTTGCACGTATTCTTGGCTGAGCTGTCCAGTTATCAGTGTGAAATTTATCAAGAGTGACATTACATTGACATCTGAGACTTATATGTGCTGGAAATGGCACCAAGTGATGATACACACCACTTCGATTTTTGCTGAAAACCTGTATCTGCTACTATCTGTGCACATGCATTACAACAGTTTGCTAGAAAAAAAAAATAATCTGTGATTCCTGGGCCTCTCAGCTGAAATACTGCAAAGTGTAGCAAGATGTTCTTTTTGTCAAGGTACTTGTAGGTGAGCAATTCCAAAAGGGAAGGCTAGACTTTGAGAATGACTTAACTGACTGCAGAGGCTCTCTGATGTCCCAACGAGGTAAGCAGTGTCGTGGTGGCATCCTTACTTAAATGTATAGTTAACTTACTACAAGTAGTTTCTAATAAAACATCATGTATAATAAGAAAAACGTAGCTACGAACAACTGCACATGTTTACATCCTTCTTAGCTGTTCAATGCCTAAACGCTGTTTTTACCCACGTTAAGGTGAAGCCATAGTTTGACAGGTACTTGAAGCAAACATCAGGCAGCACTGCTGTTGAAAGAAGTAATCCTACCAGCCCTTAGTTTCTGGCAATTCATTCCTGTGCTGCTAGGTTGGTGAGATGATACTGGTTAATGATTCTACAGGAATTTTTCCTTCCTACGTTAGATTTAGTTCAAATCAGTCTTCTGATTCCCTTCACTGCATGACTGCAGTGACTGTGCTGGCACAAGGTTGGGGGAAGATCCAAAGGAATGAGAATTGATGTTCAATCACAGAATCCCAGAATGTCGGGGATTGGAAGGGACCTCAAAGGATCATCTAGTCCAATCCCCCCGCCGGAGCAGGACCACCTAGATCAGATCACACAAGAACGCATCCAGGAGGGTTTGGAACATCTCCAGAGAAGGAGACTCCACAGCCTCTCTGGGCAGCCTGTTCCAGTGTTCTGTTCCCCTTACTGGGAAGAAGTTCTTCCTCATGTTTACGTGGAACCTCCTGTGTTCCAGCTTAGATCCATTTCCCCTTGTCCTATCATTGGACGCCAGTGAGAAGAGCCTGGCTCCATCCTCATGACAGTCACCCTTTCCATATTTATAAACATGAATGAGGCTGGGAAGAAAGGTGAGACCTATTCTCTCAGTATCTTTGCTGGCTTGTGTCAGTGAAATGGTGGCATGCAAGTCAGAGTAGAAACAGGAAGCAAGCATGACGCAGCCTGGAACAGATTGAAAGAGTTTTTTGGTAGAAGAGGAGAAGCTGTAGCATCACAGCATCATGGCCTCATGACTGCACTCGGACTTCCAGGAAACAACGGCATGAGACCCTACTGGTACTGGCAAGAGAGAAAGCTGCAATTGCACCCACTGTACCTCCTCCATCGCAGTGAAGTGGAGTGAATGCATTTGTAGGTCTTGTGCCCAAATCGACTTGAAGCTGAGATCACATAGTCCTGTTTAGCCACGAACCACTGCAGACGCCTTCAGTTAGGAAAAGATTGCAGGGAGTGTTAAAATTGCATGCTCAGGTGCAGTATCCTCCTTGTGGTAAGTTCAATTTTACCAGTATTTATCCAGGTGTTTAGTTTTATAGTGGGTCAGGTCATACAAACAGTGAACACGCTGAATACAATCAGTGAAACGGCTGAACACACCGTTTATTTTAGGCACTGCTTCCTTCCAGCCACACTCTTACCCACAAGGGGATACTTACAGAATTGAGGCCTGTGTCTGGAAAAAACAATGTCATCTCTCCTTCTCCTACTTCCTGCTCATATCCTTAAGAAAAAAACATAAATTAAACATGAAGCATATGTTTTGATAACCAAACCAGCTAATTCTGCCCTATATTTTCCTGGTCTGTTTTTTAGAAAGATTCAAATACTGTTTAACAGCTTATTTTTTGAATTAAAAAGTTGCTTTTTTAAAAAAAAATATAGGAGCAGTAATGAAGAGAAAACAATTTCTGCATAGGATAACGGGCTTGTGATTAAAACTCAGTTCTCTTAAAAACGTTCTTTCGTTGGTGACATCTTTTTCTCCCACGCTACTGTTGTCTTTTCAGATTTTTTAGTGTTTCATTAGTCAGCTTTCTTCATGGTCTGAGCAGCGTATCTGATAATCACACAACGGCCCGTGTTGTTCACAGAAATCCTTATCTGCGTACTTACTACGCCGAGGAAGCCGCCTGTGACTGATGCTGTTCGACTGCTCTCAGTAAAACCCCATCAATTCTTTCCATCCACTATTATTTTTTTTTTTCTGGGGCAAGCAAACATTTAAATAGCAGTCAGGTGGGTTGTTTTTTGCCAGCAATTTTCACAGGTAATGCCTCCTATTGAAAGATTCCCTGGAGAGGATATTTTTGTCCATTCATTTCCCATCTTCCAAATGGGAGAAATCTTTCTGCATGTTGTATATGGCTAGACTATGGAAGCAGGAAAAATGTCAGAAATAATCAGCAGCATTTTAAATCAACTCAAACCAGTCTCTGCTGAGTTCTGAAAGTTCACTAGCTGTAGTAAGGTAATAGTAGGGCCTGGTAGAGATCTCTGCTGGCTATCTGCATGCATGTATGCTTACAGAGCATTGTTTTCCTAACAGTTTCCACTTTGGGATGTCCAAATCAGAATAAATAAGGCTCAAGATACATTTTCCTAGTGCCCTTTGCAAATGTGTATTTGTCCTTGGGTAACTGTGCCTACAGCTAAATGCTAAGAAAAAGTGTAAATGCTCAGGACTGTCTGAGGGTCATTTTAACATTTCAATAAATACAAAGCCAAGAGGAAAAGAACTACTGGTGCCATTTCACTGACCAAATACCATAGTGATAGACACTACATATGTTTCATTACACCAGAGAGGAAAGAGAACCATTTTTTTTTAAAAATAATGAAAAAAAAAAAAAAGTATTTTTAAAGCAATAATACAAAATATTTTTTCTGCACTTTTTGTGATGAATAGCAAAGTGCAGCTCTTTGGCATGTTTTGGAGGAAAATTTTTTGGATACTTCCACAAATGAATTTCACTTTTCAGTATTTTAGGGTGTAAATTAAATAATCTTTCTTGACAATATTTTTATGTTTATGTCATTTATGTTTACCTCTGAGCAATAATTGTTTTTTCCCAAGATGCCCAGTAAGTAAGTAGGGCTCTTCAGTTGTGTAACGACCGTAGATGCCAGTCTTTAGCAGTTACCATCTGAAATCTGTGTTTCCATGTGAAGAACCGAAGAGTGATCCCTTGGGGAAAAAAGCCAAACCCTCTTGCTGACATTTACCACTATGAGCAAGAGAGTTATAGAATCATAGAATCATAGAATGGTTTGGGTTGGAAGGGACCTCAAAGATCATCCAGTTCCAACCCCCCTGCCATGGGCAGGGACACCCTCCACTACACCAGGTTGCCCAAAGCCTCATCCAACCTGGCCTTGAACACTTCCAGGGATGGGGCATCTACAGCTTCTCTGGGCAACCTGTTCCAGTGCCTCACCACCCTCAGAGTGAAGAATTTCTTCCTTAGATCCAATCTAAATCTGCCCTCTTTCAGTTTAAATCCATTTCCCCTTGTCCTGTCACTACACACCCTTGTAAAAAGTCCCTCTCCAGCTTTCCTGTAGCCCCTTTAGGTACTGGAAGTCCTACTGCTGTTGCGGGCTGCACAGGTGGAAGCTGTCCTACACCAAACACATACAGTGAGGTGGGCGTTGTGGGATGAGAACGGCTGGCTCACACCGAACGTGCCGCGGGAAGGGATGGGTATCAACTAGCGTGTGGTTTGTGCACTTGGTAGCTGCAACCTGCATCTGTGTGCTGCAGCATGGTTGGGACATCACTGCTGAGCTCCCTTCTTCGTGGTCCGAGGTGGCTTTTCCAAGTGACAGTGCTTTGTGTTTTCAGGACACATCTCATGGCAGGCTCTTAAGCAGCAGTATCTTAACAAGTGGTTGAAACCACCTACTCTTGTTTCTGCCAAAAATGAGAGGTTTGGAGACTGCAGAGCGTTTTCTGTGTTGCCACTTGGTGGACGCTGCAGGGGGATGGGTTCAGCGTTGTTGTTTGTTCTTTACAAAATTGTCCTAAATAGTTTCCAGAGCTCCTTCAGAGTTGTGGCCCTTTGAAATTAGTCTCTCAGTCACTGTTGTACTCTCTCTGTGCCAAACTGAAAGGTACTCAGGTCCTTAACAGTTTCCTAACCTGCTGTTTCAGATAAAGACCTGTAGGCCACTGGTTGCCCCTCAGCCATACTCCCCCAGAAAAAGTACCCAAACCAGTGAGGTATAGTGATGATGTTCTGATGTCACTGACATAAGGGATGTGACTGGTTTTGATTCAGTTTTGTATTTTGACTGGTGGGATAACTGAGTGTCAGATTCCTGTGCCTGTGAAAGAGTTGGCTGTAGCATTTCTGGATAATGAAAGTCATCCCCTGGTGGTACTGGCAACCATGAAAGCCGCTCCTGGTGGGAAGGCAGCTCATCCACCCCCTTGCTTGGCTCTTTGGGTCTGCCTGCAGCCTAACAGTTTCTGTGGCCACGCTAGTACAGCTGGCAAGTCAGGAAAAATTCTAGATCACCAAATTAACTTTCTTAGTTCCTATTTTTTTTTTCCAATTATTGTTCACTTTGTCTTAATCACTTGATTTTTGGTTCTAGGGGATTACTGCCACAGCTGCTTTACCAGAGAGTGGTTCATCGCTGGCCTTACGAGCCCTAGGATGGGGCTCACTCTATGCGTGGTGTGGAGTCGGATTGCTCAGCTTTGCCATCTGGAAGGCTCTGGGTGTGCACAGTGTGAGTAGCAAATATAATTCCCTCAAATACTGTGATTTTTCCTTGGATAACGCATCTTGGGGTGCAATCATTGTATTACTTCAAGCCTAGGAGTTACACCTTCATTCACCACATGTAGAGTGACCAACCAGAGTGTGTGCACATAGGGAAGGTTTTCTTCCATCTGCAAAAAATGGGATGTTGTGGGAGAAGACAATTTTGGAGGAGGAACAGTTTTGTCCTGCTTATGTTTATTTGAACAAGTGTTGCAGATTCTTCACAAAAGAGCCAATGTTCTAATTTAGAGCCTAAGATAGTAGCGGCACACTTTCTGTATCCTTTGCTTATTGGATTGAAGGCTACCCCCTGAATCCTGGCTTTAGAGCAATCCGTTTATTTGTCCGAGTTCTGGTTTTTGCATCAGGACGCTGAGGACGTAAGAAAAAACTGAGAGGAAATCAGCTCGCTTTCTCGTGCGTTTCTGGAAGGGTTGAGGGGGCAGAAGATTGAGTTTTATGTGCAATACAATGGTGGTACATGACATACCATGTCAAAGCAAAGAAACTTGGGAAGCATCTGTATGTCCCAAGAGGCTAAGGCTATCCTTAGTAAATTGCTTACGTTCCAGTGTTTCCCGATGGTGAGCGTGAACACTGAAGTTTGTGTAAGCATTTTTGTTTGTCCCTAGTAATGAGCCATGACTTACAAGTCCACTGAAGCTTTACGTTTGGAGGAACTGTCTGCATCCTCTTAAAGACTAGGAATTAATACACTTCCTTTACCTTCCATGGCAAATTACATATTCAGCAAAGTATCTCTCAAAACTAGATGGAAGAAGATACTACTTCATCCCAGTACTCTTCTCGTTAATAACTTTATTCAAGTTCTCGCTTCTTGTCTACTCTGCTTACGTATCCTGTAGGTCACAATTTGGGTCCCAACATACAGCATTACACAGTCCCTTATTCTTTAGATTCCAAGTTGATTCCCAGTAGGAGCCATTAAAGGAAGGCAGGACATAGGAGGCAGCTACAACACATTTTGTTTAAACTCAAGTCCTCCTTGTGAGGCTGTAGTGGAACGGCAGAGAAGGGGGAGGAAGAGTGGGAGTACCAGCTACTGCTCTCTGCATGCCGAGCTACACCACCACTCAGTGTACTGTCAGTTATATCATCAGCCAAAAGGATTCATTTCACACTCTGCTGCCAGTATCTTTTCCAACCTAGAAATCTATGAATCTATGAATCTATGAATCTGACCCTAGTCTGCAATTTTCGTTAACTGTTTCTCGGTAAGCTTAATTTTTACTTCCTTGAGGAGTATTGGCCTGTACCCACAGTGTCCTGGTTTCCCTGTGAGGCTGCCGAACACAGAACATCCACATAAGCTTGAGCTGGCCAAGCCCCAGGACATGTCAGAACCTGATGGGGCTCCTGGTTACCTGGCAGCAGTGGCCCTTGTGTCAGAAGCACACAGCACGCTGCAGGACTTGTTGAGCGTTCCTAGTCAGACAGCTGCACCTTATTACATCCTGTGTTGTGCTAGTGTTGGAAGGAGGTGGGGGGGACTGTATTTGAAGAGGCTGTTGCAAATGCCTGTTGGTGTTGGTTTCTGGTTTGGAGTGTTACGTGTCACCGTGGTGCACGGTGGGAACTGCAGACACTGGAGGAAGCAGGTTGCTGTCAAGAGACCGTGTCTTTACGTGATTTCCAACAGCTCGTGCTCTGCTCTCCACTGGCAGATTTATTGCATTCACTATAGACTTGTAAGTTCCCACTGCAGAAAGGAAACACCTACAATAGTGCTACTCATGACTGTAGAATCAGTTAGCAAATTGTACATTTCCTGTCACACATTTCTTTTTCCTGCTTTACTATGTATCTCTTAAAATCAAATATATATATGTTTAAAATTACTGGAGGCACAAAAGCAGAAGTATGTTAAAAATGAAATATTCTGACTAAAGAGAAGAAGTTCATTACCATTAAAAATATATTTCTAGAATAAGTAATCTTTGGTTTTTTTGATTGTTGTTGACACTTTTTTGCATACTGCTTTAACATAACACTCAGGAGCAAACACTGTCTGTTGAAAGACAGTATTTTTTTTGCTTAAATATCATCTTCCTGAACAGTTGAGATTAAATAAGGATTATAAACTGGCTGGTAGATTATTAGTTCTGGACTCTTAAACATATGTGCATTTTAAGAAGGGCCAGTTTATTTTATTTATTTTCCTATTTCAGTGGAACATTGTCATACTTTGGAAAATTCTTAATTGCTATCATGTAAGCAGAGATAATGTATTAATAATCTGTTAAAATACTGATTTTTAAGAACACAGATGCATATGTTGCGTCTAAGAATTATTAGATAGCCACAAAAATAAAGTTTTATTTGTAGGAAACTATTTACTAAAGTTACCATTGGGTGAAATAAAGTTTCTTTCCACATAAACTGTTCAGGCCATGGAAGACACCGTAGATTTTCCATTAAGCTCAACATTTTCAAACAAACATTTTCATTTCAGTTACACATTTCAAAAAGAGGCATTTACAGATTTACCTGAATAAAACCTCCTTCAGCCTTCAGCGTGGTTGAGTGCTGCGAGTTCAGTTCTCGGTGGTACCTGCAGGTTCCCAATGCACGGAGAAGTTCAGGTCACAGTTTCAGACTTGGCATCAGGTATTGAGATTTAAAAGCTGTGAACTTAAGGCAGACTTCAGCCTCTGGAAGGGCGATGCTGTGTTACCTGGGGGGGAGCCTGGAAAGCCCCTCTCCAGCTTTCCTGTAGCCCCTTTAGGTACTGGGAGGCTGCAATAAGATCCCCCCGGAGCCTTCTCTTCTCCAGGCTGAACAGCCCCAACTCTCTCAGCCTGGCTCCATAGCAGAGGTGCTCCGGCCCTTGGATCATCTTTGTGGCCTCCTCTGGCCCCGCTCCAGCAGCTCCATGTCCTTCTTGTGCTGGGGACCCCAGAGCTGAACACAGTATTCCAGGTGGGGTCTCAGGAGAGCAGAGCAGAGGGGCAGAATCCCCTCCCTCGCCCTGCTGCCCACGCTGCTCTGGATGCAGCCCAGGACACGGTTGGCTTTCTGGGCTGCCAGCGCACAGGGCCAGCTCATGTTGAGCTAACCCTACTTAATAACTAAAGCTTTGGCAGCTGGACAGAGAGAAGAGGAGGTTCTGTCCAGCTCCTTCACCTTACTGCCTTAACAGTAACCATCCGCCTTGGGGACCTGCTAATCAGTGACCTTGCCCTGCAGAGCAGCAGCTTCATTTGCTCAAGAGCTACTGGTAATATTGATAACGTTACTGGTAGCTGATATGGTCTCTTGATATTCAATTGTTTCTCTCAATACTAAATTAAGGATAACAAAATTCTGATCGTAAGCCCTGCAGATGTTTCATCGAGTAAACAAGAGCGCTGCTTCTGTCACACGTAGGAGTACATTAACTCAGCCCTTCCTCAAATCTGTCGCCAGCTCCATCCCTGTGACTGTCCTGGTGGGATCTAAGTGAGTAAAGGACTGACCTCCACTTCCAGCGTCTGGAGGGGAGTTCCAAGCTAAGTAAAACTGAGTTGTTAAGTGTTGTTTAGTGCCTCATGTCATCTCCAGGAGTAAAATACAAGAAGCCATAGTGGAAAATCGGACATGATGGGTTGGCAGGAATCACAAGAAAAGGAGTAAGAGAGCTAGGAGATCCTGAAGCATGGCTGGCTTGGCCAGGGAAGCTGTCAAGCAGTTCTGCTCCTGCCCAGCCCGCCCGTGGACACAGCTGAAGTTCGTGCACACCAGAGCTTGGGCCGCCTTTCAGGGAGGAGGAGAGCAAAGCTCATCGGTGAATTTGGAGAAGTGCAGCAAAAGGTGGGCTTTGCACTCTGCTGACTTCAGCTATGCATGGTTTGGAACCATGGATGATTCCATTGGTGCGACTGAACTGTCCTGATCCTTTGGAGTGACAGAACTGTCCTGATCCTTTGGTGCAACTGAACTGTCCTAACCCTTACGCCAACGTACCCACCCGAAATCCGCTGTGATCCTGCTGGTGTCCGCAGGAAGAGGTGCTGAGCATCTCCCGCGCCCCTGGAAGCCTAGAAATGAACCGGCGCGGTGCTGCTACGATTTCTGGTGTTTAGGGGGGGCAAAAAT